GCGTCCTCCATTAGCAACAGGAGCAGTCTTCTGTGCTGTTTCCCTAGGTGACAGCGAAACCCCTTAGCCTGGCAGCCCAGCCTAGCCCAGGCAACGGGGATGTGCAATTTAAAGGCTGGATAAACACTGAGACAGGATGAGGAGTGGGAGCAAGCAGCAGGCTTAGTCTTTTGTCTTAGAGAAGGTCAACCTGGCCGTTGCCAAGGTTAGTAAAACACGAATCTTTGCAATCAGCAACTGCATATGTCAGGCTGACATCATGGTATCTCTGTTCCACCAGTAGCCTTGACAAACAAGGACAAGAGGAAAATTCACTGGGGGAGAGTGGCTCATCTGAGGTAGAAGATACATTCCATAGGCTGCTAGAGGCTATTTCCAGGAAAACAACAATGCTACGCACCCCAGGATAAAAGTGGAGTGACACTGGAGAGGGGGAGGGGCGTTAAATAGAGCTGAGGATAGGATAAAGCAGTTGGGTACCTTTTCCATGTTCCATCCTTTGGTTCAGGGAAGAGTGGTCCAGTGGTTCAAGCAGATGCCATTGGACTCACTTCTTTTCCCTCATGGCATGACATCCCTATGCAGGGTACCAACTACATTGGACCTTGCAGAGAAATGTGATGAGTGCTTCAGAAAAGAGATCTAAGGCCAGAGCTTGAGGTCCTTGGGCAAAGGCAACATGGCACTCATGGAATGGGTAGTTACATTTGTGGCCCTAGTCAGTCCCTTAGGTCACCTTGTATTGGTGAGTTCTCCCGCATGGTTGGAGTTCTCTACCTGTTTGGAAAACCTTGGGGTAAGGTTCTTGGAACAGCTGCTATGAAATAGGTCTTATGGTGCAGGCTTCAGATTGGATAACAACCCCAGCCAACCTCTCAAGAGCTCTACATATGTAGAGGGTGAGAAGTATGATCACAATGGCCAAGGGGATACAGGGTATTCATTGCTACTGTACAAGCAAACAGAGAGAGAACAGAAGCCCCAAGAAGATTAGGCAGGAGTGGACACCGAGGTCCTTGGATGAGAAAGGAGAGCAGGGATCTGCATAAAAAGTAAACGCTAGGAGGCAAGAAGGGGCATGACAGGATACAGTGGAACACAATCATGCTGAAACAAAGGGTCTCTGGCTATGTTTTGGGGGAAGAGGCTGTGGGGGTGAGGAGATGGAGGGCTCAGGGTCACAGCCCACACAGACTGGCAAGTTGGGGGGGCAGGCAGAGGCAAGCAAGCAGGGGCAGCTGCACTAACCTAAAGGCAAAGTACATCTGGCACAGCTCACTGTGTTGAAAGGGAAGCCAGTGAGAAAGGCCACAAGTCAAAGTCTCACTCCCTCTAGCAGCCTGTCCTCCAGGGTTGGAGTCCCCTGCCCAGCTCTCCTCCTATTTCAAGAAAGCACATCAGAGTTCCGGGGAAGTCCCAGGGAGAATGCAAAGAACAGACTCACTGGCATCTAACAAATCTGCCATGACCTCTTAGCGCCTCCAGAAATCAGTTGCAAGTCTCCCTTTTCTGTTTCTCCCGGCCATACAGGAACAGCAGGAATAATCATTCGGCTGTGCCTACGGGGGGGGGGGGGGGGGATGGGGGCATAATATGTGTGAATGGACTTAAAGCATCATGCTTGGCACAGGCCTGGAGCAAGTGCTTCACTGACGGAGAACCTGGGGTGGCAGAAGGACCAAGATCTCACCCAAGTTATTAGTTTTTAGAGTCTAGGATTAAGAGGTGCAGTGTCAGCCATAGCCAGAGGCCCAGCTTCAGGCCAAGGAGACCCATTTGCATATGGGACACTTTGGCGTGTTATATCCCTTCCAGAAGCAGCCGCAGTAGTAGAGCAGGGCCCTTGTCTGGCATAAAGGCTACTCAAATGGATTAGTCATCACAGATTTCCCTGAATATAGCCTTGATGAGGCATGTTCAAATGCTCCCAAAGCACAATTGCTCCTTCTCCATGGGAAGGTCCAACCCGGACTGCCACAGAGTATGGCTTCAGAAAATCTGGCATGAAGGAGACTGAACACATTTGGTTTCAGTTTGCCTTCTCTAGCTTAGTCCTCCACAAGCGTTTTTTAAAAAGCCTAGCAGATAACGGTGCTAAGAGCAAAAGGTGCTGGCATGCCGAGGAACTGGTGGGAGCAGGCATTGCAGACAGATGCTGATCCCATGTCAAACTTCATGGTTCTCGGGGGTAGAGATGGGCTGAGAGCCAGCTGCCTTTTGGGAGTCTGGGCATGGAGGACCAACGACCGCTTCTCTATTTTCAAAAGCAGAGGGCCTTCTGTGAGGGTTCTGGGAAGCAAGGCCAAGACTCCTGGGTTCTCACAAATCTTTTAATAACAGCAAATAAAGCAAACATTTTAACAGTATTAAGTCCTTTTTATTCAGTGTGGTCAACCAAAAAAAGTCTAAGCCTAAAATTAAGGAAGCTAAGCACATACATCCAGGATGATTTTCTTCAAAAGGTGAGTACAAAAACAGTTTCCATACAAGCAAAAGGTTTTACAAAAGCATGGATGCATCACACAATACCCCGCAACTCGTGGGAGCAAAGGCGACCCTGGAATCAGCCTAACAACCAAGCCCGGTCCCTACTGTCTGATATGAAGACAAGTCCCAAAGATAAGCTGGGGAAGTGTGATGGGTGGGACAAAGCCGGGCTGCCTGGTACCTCACAATTCCATCAGAGGAGAAGGGATGGGAGCAGAAGAAAAGGGGCCCAGGCCTACCTCATATCCCTGCCTCAAGGACACCCATCCAGAAAAAAGAATCTTGAAAATAAAGCACAACACTGACAGTGAAAGCAAGCGAGCTTCCTGAACAACAGCTTTGCTCCAAGTGACTTTTGGTTTTGGGTGTTTCGTGCCATGAGTAGCGAAGCAGTGTACCAAATTGTCACAAAAACAACCAGTGACTAGAGGTTCCTGAACCCCGATGGGCACATACTATATACAGAAGAGGAAGAAAATTCCTGTCACAGATGAAGACACAGCCCCACTCTAGCAGGGGGCCGTTTTCCAGCATGGCCCTTATCAAGGAACAGCCATAGTCAGTGCAAAAAAAAATGCTCCTTTCTGCCACTCCCGATGCTACACCAGCCACACAAGCATCCCTGTCTCCCAGATAGGTTCGGTCTTTCCGTTCTCCTCCCTCACTCTTTCTGACCACCTACTCCCTCAGGGGTGCTGGCAGCCCCAATACCACTACCTGCTGACAAGTCACTGGGTGTGTGGGGGAGAGAGGGTGACTGGGCCTCACCAAACAGTGAATTATCAACTATCAATGAGCACTAAGAGCACGTTGTTGGGTGGAGGAGGGAGCACAGCCAAAGGGATGATCTGCTAGCTAGGATGGAATACTAGATTGAAACTGTGGTCTCAACACCCACCCCCCAAAGCTCCTGACTATGTGACCAGCTGGAAAAGAGGGTTGACATGGGGAGACCGGGTCCCTGGCTTCACAGAGAGGAAAACATTGCTGGACAAAGAAGGACCAGCTCATCTTTGGTGGACTGAATCAAAGACTTGATTTTGATTGATTTTTACTTGGGGGGTTAGCTGCAAGCAGGCTGGTCCCTCTTTGCTCTTACTAGTGGGTGGAACAAGCTGGCCGGCTGAACCAACTATTTTTGTTTGCCCTGATCCTAAGCCAAGCCTACCTGGGTACCCGAGGAAGCACTCCTTTCCCTGGCCGGGTTGTTAATTTGAAAGCAAAAGGTCCATCTGACAAACACTCTGTCAGACACACGTGTGCACACACGCATGCCAAGCTCCCAGATGCTGCCAGGTGGTACACACCAGTGTGGTACAAACGAGCTCAGATGCTTGCTGCACCCGCAACACCTCCAATACAGGTCCCAAATTCCAGTGGAGTTTGTGGATTAGGTTCACTTTCTGTCTCATCTCCATGTCTCTGAGGCAGCCGAGACCCTCAAGGCCCTGCATTTCCACTCCCACTTCACCTCAAGCTGTATCTCTCTGGCCCAACCCTGCCAGGCATGTAGCTTGCAATCTCACTTCTCCTGTAAGCAGCAGGAAGGATCAGGCAAAAATGGGATGCTGTGTAGTAGCCAGAACAAAGGCAAGGGTCATACATGCCATATGGGGAAGGTTCATGCTGATTCACAACCTGAACCATGTCAAGGACAGACAGATGTTGGTGGGTGGGGGCTGTAGACTCACAAAGTCTGGGACACCTGGCCCACCCAAGCTGCAGCTCCCAGCTGAGAGTCTACATATCTCTGTGTCCTGGCAGAGGACAAGACAGGCCCAAAGGCTGCTGACAACCTGCCACAATCTTCTTCCAACCTTTCCTTTTGTGAAGAGGCCAGGGACATTAGGAGCCAGGCAGATTTCCTTATCGGTTATCCCCACAGGCAATGATTTATGCCAGGCAGGATGAACCCAACCTCCCAAGAGAGGTCTGTGCTGAAGGGCAAGCCTGGGGTGAGAGGCATAAAGAAATGTTGGGCTAAGTCCTTCAGGAGGGCCCACTGCCAAGTTTGTGCATCAACAGGAGTTCAGGGAGAGTAAGAGCACTGGGGTTCCACTCCCACCCTCGGGAATGCACACTTCCAAGCCAGCAGGCCTCTGTAAAAGGTGGTCCCTCCTATGGCTGCTGCCCTTGGTGTCTACTTGCTCAGACACAATCTCTGGCATTTGGCGGCTGCCTGTAGGCCTGCTTGCTAACATCCCACCCAGGGAGATGCCGAGGCTCTATCCAGGTCTAATACAGTAACAGCTGCAATACTGGCAATGGCCCTAGAACACTGGGAAGCCTAGAGTGGCAGGCGGGAAAGGAGCCCAGCTGACGAGGTCATTGTACCATTTGTTTCTGTTCTTCAGCCAATCTGTTCTGAGATTCCGACTAAAGGACCACCAGGGGCCAGCAAGCACTCCACCATTGCCTCCCTTCTTGAGGTCCACGCATGATGGAATTTAACTCTAGGAACTAAAGGTGGTCCTTTTGGAGCACATGATCCTCCAGCATGGGGACTCTTAGCCTGTACTCTGCCATTCACCTAGACATGAGTTTGGGGTGGGCATGAGAGAGTGTGTGCCCTGGCCCCTCTCCTCACCTAGTCAGCACTAAGTCTGACCCCAGGGACATCTCACTTCAGACTATGCTGCCAGTGGCCACATCAGGTCAAACCCACGATGTTGACATGACAACCACTACTGAAATTGATCTACAAGAGTCCAGAATCAGGCCCAGAAACAAGATATTCTCCAAACATCAACATGCAAAAAACCAATTAGCCAAAATAGAAAAACTGAAACAGATTTTTAAAAAAGCAAAAAATATCCAAGTGTAGCTCATTCTGCCCTAAAGTGGCCTTTTAAGACAGGGGCTGGCAGGCAGAGAACCAATGTTCAAAGGGCACTCTGGATGAAAACGGCATCTATTATTAACATTCAACTAAATTGGAGCTTGTGATTTAAATCACCATTTGCTGAAGCTAACCCTTGTGTTGATTAATCTCTGCTCACTTCTGATTGAGATTGGCGTCAGTTGTCCATCCTCTGTTCTCACATGCTGATTTACTGGGGTCCTGCTTATGATTACCACTTGCAGCCACTGGAACCTTGTTCAATTTGGATCTGCAATTACTACAGCTCGCCAATGTCTTGTATGAAATGGAGTCCTGGGGTTGGGCAGTGCTCCCACCTCTCACCCCAGGCAGCATCCTGGAGGGAGTGGTTGGTTGGCTACTTGCTTCAAGACATGGGACACCAGTGTGAAGAAGCTGGCCAGTTCTATTTCGTCCATGAGCCGGGAAATCCCTTGGCTCTCAGCTTACCGCTGGTATAGAAACAAGGCCTCAGTCCTCATGATGGTGGGAGATACTCTGGATGCAAAAGGGGACCCCAGTATGAGCCTGAAGGTCCCTGGCAGTGGCAGAATAAAAGATAGCCCAATCTCACCACTTCAATGCCAAAAGAATGACTGCCTGTTGTACCCTTTCTCTTCAACCAGCAACTGTTAAAGCACCAACCAGCAGGAAGAACCAACCAGCAGAAAGAAACACTGACTCCCAATAAGGCCACAGAGAACCAAGAGAAAGAGACCAAAGGAAGGAGGAAAAAGCCAGCCCTCAGCACTACACCCCAGGCTCCAGGAGAAGTCCTGGGGGCAAAAGTGGGGAAGAGTGGTGGGAGAAATGGATGGAGAAGAAGAAAGAAGAAATACACCAAACACCCTACTGCCCTCTCCCATGATTTCATCAAGAACTGGGTGTTCTCCAAGTCAAGTCAGGACTTGTTTCCTCGGGGAGAGAAAAAAAAAACAACACAAGCACCTTCAGTCTATTTTCTTGGCTGGAAGCCGAAGCAAATCTAGCAGATATTTACACAAGGGCCCAGCCATGTATGAGAACAGGATGACCAGCTTCCCGTGGGTCATGGTCATGAGAGTCTGGTGTCCCGAGGCCCAGATGCGATACCAGGGGCCGTAGAATGGGTCTGAGATGGCCGGACACAGCATGTTGTTCAAATTCACTTCGGTGACCTGCAGGGACAAGGGAGGTAAAGTGAGCGTTCACCATCCTTAGGCTTCTCTGGCTTCCGCCAATTCGGCCACCGCTATTTAATAACGGGGGACTAGGCAAGGCGAGATTGACCAATCTCTGCCTGTTCATTGGAGGGATTTCTCGCCCAGAGGTTTTCTGAGCACATCCAAGCTCAAGCCCTGGGGAGCTGAGGTAGAAGGGCGGGTGGGGGTCAGGGAGTCCGTCCAGAAAAAAAAAAAGCTCTTAGGTTTTTGCACAGTCTTGCCATCCAGTGGGTTCCGGAGATGGTTGCTGTTTCCTAAGCATCTAATATGTGCTTAGTCCCTGGAGAGATTGACAGCATGGTGCCTGCCTCCACAAGTGACCTCAAAACTGGACAGTGCTCGCCAAGCTCTCCTCACCATGTGGAGATCAGCAGAGCGCACCGAATGGGGTAAATCCTCAGAGAAGATTTCCTGAGGAAAGTGCACCTGTAATGGACTCATGGCAGATGGATGGGTGGAATGGAGATGAATGGTGTGAGGAGAGCCTTCCCTGTAGGAGGCACGTACTAGCCAGGCCTACACCAGAGCATCATCTGTCTGGTGATAGGAGGACCATATCAACCCCAGGATCCAGAGTCCCAGGAGAACTTGGGAAGAGGAAGGGTGGGAAGCTCAGACCGCTTCCTCCATATAGCGCAGGAAACCTTCATGCCACTGGCAAGGAGCTCCTGTGGCTCCCACAAACCAGAGCAGAGCAATACACCACAGGAGGAATGGGGAGAGACAACAGTGACTGCTTCTGCAAAGGGACTGGTGATACTGGTTACATGTCCTAGTCCTCCTAGGCCATGCAAGGTTCCACCAACCAATGTCACATTAACGCCACTCACGCATAAAATCAGACACATCCCTCTGGCCCCAAGCACAGCCACAACACCATTCAGTGTTCTCCTAATGCCCTTGCAGCCCATTCACTGGAGAGATGAGTCCTCATTGCTCCTCAGAGATGCTGGGCATTTGGTCCATGGCATAGAAAGCTGGAGACCACACCCTCAAAGGGGAGTTGTGACATAGAGCACTGGCAGAGCCACACCTCAAACTTCGGTCTCCTGAAAGCCCCAACCCCATCACCACCTCCAGTTTCTCCTTGCTCAGTCACCAAAAGCTATCCATGCACTCAGCAGCCACAGACGCCACAGAACTCAACTACCGAGTCCAGCCAATTGCCACTCTGTGGGCAATTCGTAACACCTAAGAATGCCACAGCTAGCCAATACTACAGTTCCACTGGCCTGAGAGCTCAGGGCATAGGAGTTGGCCCAGAAGGAACCCCAGGACAGAATCTTCTCTCAGGCCCACGGCCAGGTGAAGATTCTGCTTCCCAGTGGTGTGGAGGAGAGGGCACAGCAAACCACTTTCCAGTGGCAGCTCAGGGTCTGTCACCCTGAGAGGCCATGAGTAAAGGGCCTGTGAGCCCCTCCGAGGAGCAGAGAAACTGGCTCTATGGAAGGATTCCGGAAACTCTTAAGAGCGTAAATCAGCAACCCAGACAAAACAACGTGACATCTTGGCCTTTGGCATCCTTGTTTTCAAAACAAACCGATCAAGCAGCAACATCAGCCAGGATTAGCAAGATTTATGGAGACCTCCAAACAGAGGGGAGAGAACCCAACTTACCAGGCCCAAGATCTGCAAGACGGTGAAGTGATAAAAGAACATGAGGCCAGTGGAGAGAAGGGCCCACTGGAAACTGCGGAGGGGCTCTGGGGTGTAAGCACCTGGAGGAAAAGGGGAGACAGTGAGACGGTGCCCCTCGCTGGTGACCCACTTCTCTTCTTTGGCCCCAAGGGGATGAAGGTGCAGAGGACACTTCTTGCACAACTCAGTGACAACCACTCCACAGACCACCCAAGTGCTCAGCTTGAAACAGAATTACTACCTTCCCAGCCTCAACTTCACCCCATGCTTGGTGGGAGGCCATTATAAAAAGACTTAAATTCGAAAACTAAAGCACATTTAGGAAAGAACATTTAGCATTTCTTAAGAAAGCAAAGCAAGACAGAAGAAAATGAAGATAATAACTTCCAGCACTCGCCTATTCAAAATGCAACCAGAGCTAGCCTGTGATACAGTTCATGATTCCTTTTTCTATGTCTTAACAGTTTTTTTTCTTAATTAAGAATTGGAATAGCAGCAGGACTACAGAGATAGTGCAGCAGATAGGAAGCTTGTCTTGCACATGGCTTATCCACACTGAATCCTTGGCACCTCATATGGTTCCCTGAACCTGCCAGGAAAGACTCCTGAACATGGAGCCAGGCATAAGCCTATAGTACCACCAGGTGTGGCTCCAAATCCAAAAGCCAAACCAAAAATCCAAACAATACTGGAATTCCAGGCTGGGGATACAGCTCAAGGGACTGAGCATGCAATGTGCATGTAGAATACCCAGATTCCTGGCACACCATTGGTTCCCCAAGCATGTCAGGAGTGATTCCCAAGCACAGAGCCAGGAGTAGGCACTGGATATAAAAAAAAGGCCCCCAAATCACTCTTTATGTATATAATTGCATTTTCATATTTTTAGGCTTATTTTATTACTTTCAGTTAAGGGCTGCATCCAGCAAGTGCTTGGGGCAGGGGAGGGTGTTATTTCTAGCTCAGTGCCCAGGTACCATGCAGTGCTGGGGATAGAATCTGGGCCTCTTACATATAAAGCTTATGCTCTAGTCCTTTGGACTCTCTCCCCTACCCCTCTTCATGCTAGTTTAATCACTTTTCCATGTTTCTACAGAGGGACATCATTAGTAAAGTACAACACAGGGGTTAAGAATGTTAACTTTGATGTCAGACAGATTTTGGTTTCAATTCTATTACTGACTGTGGCACTCTGGAAAAGTTGGTTTTGGTTTGTTTTTCTTGAACTAAACCTGACTCTGTGTTTGGGAGTCTTCCCAGTGATGTTTGTGGGCTGGGCAATGCTGGGAATTGAACTAGTGTTGGCTGAATGCAAGGCTTTACCCTGTACTATCTCTCTGGCCCCCCCAAAAGCTGTTAAATTTCTTAAACCTTGTCTATTTGTCTATAAAATGGAGATAATAGTTCTATCTACTTTTATTAGTGAGCAATAAAGGAAATAGTACCTTTTTGGGGTTCTGTTTTGGGACGACAGCTGGCCCAAGGCTTACTCCTGTCTACATTCTTAGGGAACACTTTTGGTGAACCGTGTGACACCAGAGATGGAACTGGGTGCCACTGTATACAAGGCAAGTAATTTAAATCCTGTACTATTTCGCCAGACCCATTTATCATCAGAGATTTTCATGTGGGAGCTACCACACACAATCTAAGTATTTCATGTGTATTAGATGAAATCATTACCAAACCAGGATTATTATTCCTATAACTTAGGATTGTGTCATATCCAATGGTAGTGCCATTTCCCAACTGTGAAACAACAGCTCCCTCCCCCTAGAACAGCAAGAATGACACATTTTTCCCTCTCTCCTCACTTGGCGCAAACATCCCAGTGGGCCTGGATGGATTCCAGCGCTGGCAGAGCGAGAGTATGGTTTCTACGATGGTGTGGGTGTTGCTGTGAATGAAGGAAGACGAAGAGGGGTGCTCCAGAATAAAAAAGAATCTGGAGCTTTGCATCCCAAAAATGTAGATGGCAAGATGATATCCTGGACAAGTCTTCCCCCAGCCTCAGACTGTCACTGATTTTATTGCTAGGCTCTGTGCCATCTTTGGGGATGGGAAAACAAGAGGCCGGGGAGGCAGACAAGTCAGTCACCAATTTAGAACCCAGTGTGATAAGTGTGATAGCCAGAGTCTGGGTCATTTGGTATAGGGAGGACATGGCAGAACCCAGCTTGCGTGGGTATGAAAGGAGCAAAGGGACCTCTTGGTAGACAGCAAATGAAGGACAAATGAATCAGGCCAGGGGGTGGCTGGCATTCGAGTAGCAGCCTGCCTGTGGGCAGATAGCAGTGAGAGCAAAGCAATCGGGAGGATGGAGACTAAAGTTTCAGTGGTCTATAAAGGGCTATATAAGTGGGCTATATAAGACTCTTGTGGGTTTCCCAGTATGCAGTGCAAGTGGTTAACAGGAGGGAGAGTCACAGGCTGCCACCAAGCTGAGTGCTGGAGCTTTCCTCCTGTTCCTTCATGTTCTAGGCCCAGGAGCAGGCAAGTAACTGCTTCACTGAACCAAGCAAATAGCAGCAAACAGAAGAGTGACTGGGGTCTAAAAAATATTTAGGGCTCCTGGAGAATGGCCAGCTGGAAAGCCCAGGCCCTCTAAATGAGGCAGCTAGAAGTCAGGTTAATGTAATCACTACCTGGTGGGGACTTGGTCCAAAAGTACTAATCTCTCACTTTTGCAAAAGGAGGTAGAAACTCACCAGCCAGAGAGAGTACAGCACTGAACTACTCTGGAGGTGGCCGAATCTGGTTCGATCCCCAGCACCCGCACATCCCCTGAACACTGCCAGGTATGACCCCAGAGCACACAGACAGTAATGGTTCCTGAGCACCACCAGGAGTGGCGTCCAAATTACAAATGTAAAGAAATATGGTTATGAGCATTTCCTGATTTCTACATGCTGGTAAATAATTAGAATGTTCAATAGATTAAACGAAGTATATCTTCTGGAGGGACTATGACTCCCCCTGGGATCAACTTTGACCTCTACTGCATGGTCTTGGAGCAGTAAAAGGTTGAGATCTCTAGAGAATGTGTGCTGGAGAAGCTCAGTCTGGCCAACTGAGGCAGTGAGACTGCAAAGGACAAGAATTCAACAAGCGAAGAGGATTATTACTTGAAAGGTACTGAGTGGGGCTGAAGAAAAGTGAAACACAGAAAAGTGGCAGGGCATGGGACAAGATGGGACGATGAAGAGGAAGGAGCTAGAAAATACACTCTGCCAGAGGTCTAGCCTGGCCTTACTGGGTTGATAGTACCTTTGATTTTGATGAAGGAAAGAAGAAACAGCAGATCTGGGCAGAAGATCAGGAAAGGAGGCCAATTTAGCTAAGGTGAAACTGCAGTACATGTGGCTATCCAAGTGGAAATGTTTCTGACGCAGCAGGATGCAGCTCAAGTGGCCAATCAATATAAGGGTCAGAGTGTACTGGTGCCGGGCAGACATGGATTAGCAACTCCCCGCTTTTTAAGTTAGCAATTGCAGGGTCCTGAGCAAGCCTCAGTATCTCTTGAACTCTGGTTTACTCATATAGAAAATGGAATGACTACATATTTCCCAAGAAAGTGGATGAAATCACATGCAATAATTCATGTCATGTTGGAAATTCTGTAATTTGGGAGTTAATAAATGCAGCTTGTTTTGTTTTTATTTGATTTGAGGGCCACACTTGGCAGTGCTCAGAGGATCTTGCACTTGGAAGTCACTCCAGGCAGTGTTCGGGGAACCATGAGGCAGTGCTCAGGGGCTCTTGTGCTTGGAAGTCACTCTAGGGAGTGCTCAGGAACCATGTGGTAGAGGGACTGAAGCTAGGGCTCACACATGCAAAGTCAGCCCTTTGCCTTCCCTTTGTCTCCATTGCTGACCATTTTACATTTTGAGTCCCAAACTGAAATAGCAGTGGAAGCTAATGTCTAGGTACCCTCAGCACACAATGGTAAGGCAGATTCCTATGTAGAAGGAGAGAGGAGAAAGGGTAATGACAGAGGCCCAAGGAATACCTTGTGGAGATGGGCATGAGGGGAGAAGAGGAAGGAGAATGGGGCTAATAACTAAAGCCCTTCTGAGTCAGCAGGCTGCCCAAAAACGTCAAACCCATTTCTCCATTTTATGGCAAGGAAATGAAAATTTTTAAAAGCTAAGCTTCCAGATAGACAAAGTGAGGTGGGCTGACTTTCGCCCACTCCCAAATCCTAATAGCAGAGGGCTGCACTTCCAGACTCACCCAGGGCCTCGTTGTTCAGGGTGCCAACAGATAGTTGCCCAGCTCTCCTGCAGCACCATCATTATCCTTATCTGTCCCCCTATCTCGGCAAGAGTGCCTCAGAGTCAGAGCATGTGTGAGCCTAAGTCTTGATTTGGCCACCATTTTAAATGCGGCCGCTCGACATCTTATCAGGACATCTTTTTATGACATCTTATTATCTCATTCCTACTTTGGACAAATTTGCAGGCTATCGAATGTAGCCTGCCCACAGGGCAGAGTCTGGCAAACTCCCCGTGGCGTACCAAATATGCCAAATACCAGTAACAATGATGGGTCTCATTCTCCTAAGAGCCTTGAATATAATCTCAGGGCTAGGATGAAAGAGACGTTACTGGGGCCTGCTCGAGGCAATCGACGAATAACAGGATGATGAATGAATTTAAAAGTATGTGTTGTGGCAAGGCAGCACTCCAGCTTTCCACTTTCCCCAGGACAATTTACTGTCCATTCCCATGTGAGCACTGAGCCCTGTGTTCTTCCCTGGCCTCTGGCAAGAAAAGGCAATGAGGGGTTGAGGCTGGAAATGAGGCTGGAGCTCACTCTGCTCCCCAGGGCTGTGCTTTCCCCAGGTTTTCTTCCCTCCAGCCTCATTCTGGCTCGCTTTGGTGGCAGCTGGCTTGTGGTGACATAGCCCATGGGTCAGGCAGTAGCTGCAGGAAGAAGATGTGACTGGCAAAAGTTGTCAGCTAGTAAGAGGCCTAAGGAGAGCTGTATGCATGCTCTCACTGCGGGTGGGCCTCCCCTCACCATGCTCCTCCCCAGACTACCTCTGCCTTAAAGCCTCTGAACATGCCCTGCTTGGTTA